ATATTCAGCTGGGCACATATTTTGGTTGCAATTCTTTTATAGCAGAAATGTCTGTTGTAAGAATGTTATGCGTTACATCGTTACCAGATTTATTAAATGGCCTGAAAAATCCAGTCTGTCATAAACTTGGAAGCGCTGGGACAGTCAGACAGACACCATTGTTATGGTGGATTAGCCAATGTTTCTTAAATGGGGGTACGTGTTAATTTAAAAAATATTAGTCATGTATAGTTCTTAAAATAACTATACTAAAGGTTCAATAAAATGTTTTAATTTAAGTTCGATAAACCATATTGTAAATTCAATATTTGTTGTGAAGCACAAACTCATGTTTCTCAATCAATTTTAAGTTTCTGCAACTTCAATGCCTTCCTAGTTATTATTGCATGATGACGGAACATTGGTTTGCCATGAATTTAGTCTTTGTGCTAGCCAGGGGAACTTGGCTGAAAAACTATTTCAAAGGAGGCACATTAGATTCTATTAGAATCCATATCAGCTAATGCAGAACATCAGCTACTCTTTCTTGGGTCCACGCAAAACATAAAAAAAAAAAAAAAAACGTCACGAGAGATACACTTGCAATACAAAACACCCAAAAATGATAATGAACAGTATTCTCTTTGAAAACATTATTATTATTATTATTATTATTGTTATTATTGTTGTTATTGTTATTATTATTGAACACCTTTTTTTTCATATATACATTATTGAGTTTGAAAAGCAGGGAATATATAATGGTATCTGGTTGCATTTTTGGTTTGTGGTAGTTTTCACCTGCATTGAGCCCAGTGTAGTCACAGTGCTGCGTTTGGAAAGAAATATTTTTTTAACAAGTTTACATTTTTTATATATGTATATATTTTTTAAAGCAGATATAGATAAAGATGTCAGATTTTGGAATATTGGAATAAGCACAATTATTAAGCCATGTTCTGATTCCATAACTTGCTTCTAGCATCTCATTGGCAAATGAGGAAAGCAGGGGTTATCCATGAACAGCATTTGCCGCCCACCCCCCCGTGCAGAGCAAGGTCTTGTAGAACACAGATTTGTATGTGCGAACTTGATTCATTCACCAGGAACTGAGATAAAGGCTGTTTAGAGTAAAACTCATTTTATTTTGGAGAGGAAGATTTTATTTATTTATTTTTGTAATTGTGGAGCCCTTGGTTTTTATCATCACACTTGAGCCATCTTTTCTCTTGCTCTCTCAATAGTCTCTGCCCCATCCTCCCACCACCATCTCCCACTCCACCCTCAGCACACACACTACACTGCCTGTCTGGCTAATAGAGGGTGAAATGCAGGTGTGTATGGGAAATGGCTGCAATACTGTAGCGCATTGACAGGTTATTTTGTTGGCCTCTGCCTAATTAGTGGCATAGTGGATGCACCCCGCTAAGCTTTAGTGCTTGATGTTCGTGCCAGTCTGCTCTAATTTCCTTGCGCCTTTGATATCAGCCCTGTGATTGACGGTTCGCACATAAAGAGGAACACCAGACCACGATAGAAAACTCAGTGGAAACAATGCCTCCACCTTAAGTCCCCAACCCCCCAACCCCTTTAGCCCCATGTCTTTGCATTTTACCCCCCAGGTCTGCAGATGTACAGAGCGACGTTATGGATGGTTTTATTTTGCTAACTCAACATAAATTGGCTTCCATGTCAGCAAAGCGAACGTTATTTCTTCACTGAGAGAAAGGAACATATAAGGTCCAGACCCATTGCTTCTTTGTCTCTGAGGATCCTCTGATAGTCAGTTATCACTCCAGTAATCACTCCAGTAATCAATTACAGCTGTCTTTTGTTTTGCATTGGACCTGAAAGTAGCTCTGCTGTTCAAAAGAGAGATTGGACCTGTTGAAACCCTGTCTGTATTTTAATAATTGCTCTTAGAGCATGCTTTACATGAGATATACAGCTTACTGTGCCTTCATTGGTTGATTGGTTTTATTGACATTTTGCAGGTGTAGGGAAAAAATCAATTCACCTTAATATCTAGATTATTTTTATTTATTTTTTTGCGAATTATTATGTTTTTTAATTTTTTTTAATTTTTGTTCCTGAATCGGTTACCGATAACTAGCTACCACTTAGGCCGTTAGCTTGGTGCTAACACATAATGAGAATTAGCATTGCAATTGTGGTAATGTTATGTTAATAATCCACCTACATGCTTACCATAATACATGTGCTCATACTTAAAGGCATATATTCTATTCTGTCCTTGTCTATGAAAACAAACTAATAGCTGCTGACTTCAAATTTGCTAACTCAAATTGTAACTCATCGACATATATAAATATGGATGACCTCAAAACTGAAGCCAAGACATCTCGATCGCCCTCTGGTGGCTGACTTTCGCAGTAGCTATATGAATCATTGTCACATTAAGCTTGTACAACCTATTTGAGCTTCTTTTCATTTGAGTTTCAGTCATTCAGTGGCTGGTGTTCTGTGATTCTGTTATTATTAAGAAGTTTGGCAGAATTTCGATCAATATTTTTATTGTGCATTTAGCAAGAAATTAACTCTACTTGTGGATGGATATGAGGAAGCTTTAAGTGAATGGCTGTTTTAATCTCATTGATAATAAGACAAATACAAAGCTGCTGAAGTTCAGGGAAATGGCATTGTGTGATGTTTTTGGTGACATATTTAATGTGTAGTTTTCATTATGTTCCAGTATGTTCTTTCACTTTATCTTGCTGCAGTTATTACAGTTTAATGTCGAGGAAGGCCACAGGCTATTTCCACTAACCTTCATCAGAACTAACCACGTGCCTGTGTAATTGTACTCCCAACAAGTGAATTTCATGCATTTTTCCTGACATTTGCCTGCCTTTGACATTTGGGCCTGGAAGTGCATGAAAGCTGTTTAAATCTCACGTAAAAGGTCAGCTTGTGATTATTAACAGTGTTGGCTGTAAGGAAGTCTACTTATTCCTGTGTTGATTGCTGGCTTTCAGCTGCACAAAGAAGTGGCAATATTGTTAGTATTGCCTGTGTTATTTCCTTGTCCTGTGCCCTGTTGAAATAAAGGAATGAATGAACTAGGTAACTCTCCTCTCTTCCAGCCTACTCTACTGTGTCAGGTGTAAATGGACCCTTGGTGATCCTGGATAATGTAAAGGTGAGGCTAAGTTCTATTTTTATAAAACTATATCCATGAATGAGTTCAGTTCTCGTATTACTACAAATATTACTGTGCTTTAATTATATTCACCTATTATGGAAAATCCATTTTGAGAATGTATTAATGAGGTTTCAGATGACAATGATCATATTTGCAGATGTACCCCTGTATTAGATGGTATTAATGGTATAAATGTAGATTTGGAGCAGCTGTAGTGAAACTGTGTTAATTCTCTTTGATCTAGTTCCCCAGATATGCTGAGATTGTTCACCTGACCCTTCCCGATGGCACCAAGAGGAGTGGGCAGGTCCTGGAGGTGATTGGAAGCAAAGCAGTTGTCCAGGTGAGAAACAGAATCCACAATAGCTCAGGGTGCCCCGGTGGCTCATCGGGTAGAGCAAGTACCACGTGTATAGTTTTTGCCCCAGCAAGTGGGGTCATTTCCTGCATGTGTTTGAGAGTTATGCTGCTGTAAATACTCAGTAAAGCACTAGTTCCCAACCTTTTTTTATTTAGTAAACTGATGACCCCTGACTGAGTGACTTATTTTAAGGATATTTCATATTATTTTCAAAACTGTACAATGAACCTAAATAGTGAACTTAGTACTGCAATTAGTTTGTGTAAAAGGAGTGATTTGGATGAATTTAGATAGATAGAGGCCTAAAAAAGAGGCTGGGGCTTAAGAGGTTTGGAAAAAGGTTGTGAGCCAGTGCCCTAGAGAATGAATTGTATCATCTGATCTAATACTTCGGGTTCTGACCAAATGCCTCCAACACAAATGACATTTCCATCAGCTTCAGCTGTACTTTGTTTTAGTGCTGAGTAGCTAACATGCTAAATCAACACGGTAAACATGGTAAGTGTTAAACCTGCTTAACATTAATATGCTAGCATTATCACTATAAGCTATGTTAGGGTTGCTCTTAGCCTTATTTTGAGTTGAAGCTCAATTAATGTGGGCAACTCTTGTAAGTAACCATGGCAGAGAAACTGTTTTGAGATTTATGTTTATTTTTAATCATAATGGCTTTCCATGTCCATGTTTCTTCAGGTGTTTGAGGGAACATCAGGCATCGATGCCAAGAAGACAGCTTGCGAGTTCACTGGTGACATCCTGCGTACCCCTGTGTCAGAGGACATGCTGGGTATGATCAACCTGATTTCACACTGCATGTATAATTCAAATTGAAATTTATATCACTCATTACAATGCTGATTAGTCGACAGTTGTGGTTTTGTTCACATCTGTGCATTCCCTCATTCATGCTTATACCCTTCTAACACAAAAATCTAAAAATTTACAGCATGTTGAATGCTGTTAAAAGTGTTATACTGCACTCTCCTTCAATATGCTTATTTTACTTAGGTTTTCAGTCTACTCACTGAATAGTAAAAGCAAAACAGCACTGAATAAAACCTTTTTTCTGAATGTTCTTGAATGTCTCAATCAGTGTGATTATCTCAGTACAGCACAAGGTTACATATATTTGAATAGCAGTAGAAAGTAAACCTGCTTTTGTTTTTGAAGTATCATTAATCATGTCCATGAATTTATAATTACTTGTACTACTGGTAGCCTCGACAAGAACCATCAGAGCCACTTTTATCTGTTTAGAGTCTGACACAAAACAGAATAGATCAGATGTGGTTGGAAGTGTCATCTAATGAATTTCATTTTATTTGTGTTTCTTAGTAATTATCTTTGAATTCAACTTCCAGATAAACCAAATAGTTATTATTTATCAAAGGAAATACTTGATTTGATTTGAAGACTTGATTGGCTCAAAGGAGAAAGTCTTCCTCTTACAGGGCGTGTGTTCAATGGCTCCGGCAAACCCATCGACCGTGGGCCCAGTGTTCTGGCTGAGGACTACCTGGACATCATGGGTATGACCACAATCACTTGCCGTCGTCCTGTTTTCTAGGATATTTTTTAAGCCAAATTAATGCTACATTACAGGGTGTCTGTGGGTGGCTCAAAAAGTCCAATAATCTCAATTTCTTGACTTTGCCTTGATACCTGGTATATTTAATGTGTCCTTGTTATTCTCATTGAGATCAGATCTCTGTCCTCCAGAGCCAAACCTGCGCATGAGTAATTTGACTGGTGGCAAATCAGCCCCATATGATTAATTTATTGCATCATTAAGTTGTAAGATGTTTCCATCTACTACCTGTATGATGAACAGGGAAGCAGGAAAGTTTATCATTCATTTATTGTTTGTATTCCATGTTTTTCCAGGTCAGCCCATCAACCCTCAGTGCCGTATCTACCCTGAGGAGATGATCCAGACTGGCATCTCAGCCATTGATGGCATGAACAGCATTGCCAGAGGGCAGAAGATCCCAATTTTTTCTGCTGCTGGGCTGCCCCACAATGAGGTGAGACCATAACCTTGTTGATTTCACAAGGGACAGAAAAAAATCAAGGAAGCAAGGAAATCAGTATCAGAAGTTCCTTGATACCAAACCCTAAAATGGATAGAAATTATTACAACAAACATGTAATAAAATTTGTCAGTTGCTTTTGTCTAATGATCGTAAATTAATGGTTGATATTGCAAATCCCATAATACCAAGTAAGAGAGGCTCCCATTTCAATACAGGAGTGGTATTTAGTGTTACTGGGCAATAAATCAATTGGAAGTCATGAAAGTGTCTTTCAAGTTATATAGAGCCTTTTGTGTCTCCAGAGGGAGCATTGTGAAGTCTGATAAATGTCCTCAAGTGATGTCACTTGAGTAAGCGTTGGTTTGGGCTGAACACACTGAGGGTATGCAGTTAGACAGAAGTGAGTTTACGAGACCTCTGCAGCCCATCTTTGGCTATGCTAGCTGCTACTAGCATAATGCACCTTTATTTCCTGAGCCATCTCGCTTCCCTTGTCTCTGTTTAGAGTTGCACATGTTAAGTGCAGATCTGATACTTGTGAGAAAAGGGCGGCGGGCGGGTAAAGACAAAGTTAATGAGCTGAAATGTAAGTGAGCATTTTCTGGAAACAGGAGTTTAGTCGAGAGTTTGATAGGAAGTTAACTTTTATAAAGTTGCTTTTTTCAGTCTCTCGTTTGAATGTGTTTTTGGGAGAATTTTGTATTGATCATGCTGTAACAACTTCATGGAACCAAACTGATTTTCCTTCACATCTTTTTTTTGCCATTATGGGCGTAAAATAGGTTTTACATTGCATTCATATTGGTCTTAAAAAGGTCTTAAAAGTGGTTCTGGACAAAATAGCTCAGGGCGTTAGTTTGCTTAAATATTAAAAGTATGATCCATCTAATATTTCTCTAAAAAAATCATTTTCTAAACAAATATCAACTCGGCTATTGCTAAAACACAAGTGAGTATATGTGTTCCCAAGGTCAAGAACATAATATATTTTCCCCAAAAATTTAAATGTTTCTGGATACTAGTGTTTATTTCTGTGGCAGTCTCACAGTGGAAATGTGTTATTTTATTCGATGAGTCAGGTCATTCATGTGTGTCAGCTGTTTCCCTCAGTGTCACATGACACTGAGTTGTGCTTTCTTTCCAGGGTATTTCATGCCTCACAATGGAAATTCATGACTCAGTTGTCCTACATAAACAAGACTACGAGTCTTACGAGCCTGAATATCTTGTGTCTAAAAGCAGTTCAAGTAAAGTAAAACAATTGACAGATGTTCATTGGTAAGTGCCATGGTTGCAAGCACTACTACCACATTTGCACCAACATTTAAGAACACATAAAGAAAATTAATATTCCATGTGTGTTTGTGGGATTGGTATTTCACCCTTAAAAGAGCAAAACTTCAACCAAACTCATTGTGCTTGTTTCTGCATTCAGTGAGGCCTGGCTTTTGCTCCAGTGTCTGTTTTAATCATTGTGACAGACAGTTGTGCAGAACACACAGCTTTATTGTGACTGAGTGGAAATTAAACCAACACGATCAGGTCATACTTAAAGAAGGCGAGTGATCTATTATTTCCAGCTAGATGGATGTTTTTGTCACAGTACGCTAGTTTAAGTAGGACAGTGTTGGAAATAGTCCCAAGGTCTTTTTTTTTTCATTCATTCATGAAAATGAAATACACAATGGCCACAAAGACAACTCTATTGTATTTGGCCAAACAGTATTGATTGAGTCAGTCTGTTGAAGCACTCCAGCACTATTGAGTTTTCTTGAGTGACAGTCCATTGGTGGTTCTTGATGCTCTCCAGCTAAAAAAAAAAAAAAGGATTTGGAAACCAATGTTGTGACCCCTGTATTCTTCTTTTCACTCCTACAGTCCTTTACACGTCATTGCTCAGGGACAAAATGTAATGCTATTACTGTTTGACAATGGCAGACAATAATAGCATTGTAATTCTTTGTGTGTTTTGGAAGATGTTTAAATATCCACTAAAGAACAGGAACATTTTTTATATATATATAAAATATTATAATCATATTGCAATTATTAACAGATATTACCATTGCAAATCACGATGATGTTGAATGATAATTTTTGCATCACAAATTTAATTTTCACTAAAAAAACAAATATCAATACAATTACAAAATACAAAAACAAACATATTTTCTTAAATTTGGAGAATAAGATTTATAGTCCAGGGCCTCTCTGCAGCACTACAATATTTCATTATAATGCTGTTTGTCACACATTTTACCTTCATCAAAACATTACAGCTCTTGTCGAAACAGACGACCACCCACCTAGAGCCGAAGGGTCTGTCCGAGGTTTCTGCCTGTTAAAAGGCAGGTTTTCCTTG